GTCGTGAGCGGGGCGGGGGCGGCGAGCAGTGCGCGCTGGGGTACAGGGGGTGCCCTCGCAGACGCTGTGGTCCAGGGGCAGAAGCCAGGCTCTGTCCGGGTCTTCTCCACCGCGCGACCCCACCTCCGCCACCTCCAGCGTCCTGAGTGTACAGCGGGAGTCCTCCTCCCTCACAGACTTTCTGGCCTGGAACCTGGGATTTATGTAAACTTCCTGCAACTAAGACCTATGTCCAGTTTGGGGTTGAACAAATGTGCTCTCCTCCTCATCCTCTCGGGCAACTTCTGTCTTAGACATCTTCTCACCTCTGCCTCCCTGTTTTCGTCTTGGCCCCCTTTGCTGAGCTAAAGTGGAAATAGCTCGCGTTCCTTCCCCCAGAGTCTTCCTAGGCGGCCTGCAGTGCTTTCTCCACTTTCTGATGGGTTTCCCATAGGGCCCTTGGTTAAGCTGCACACAGAGGTGGCCTTCTCCACACTCCCTAGGACGCCTAGCCAGTCACCCTACTGAAAGTCTTCCTGGAAAGGAAGACTAATGCCATTGGGCCCAGAAGTCCTCCGGGCCTTCTGTGTCCCTCTGTTTCAGGCGTCCCGAAAGGCCTCATCCCTGCTGCTCAAAGGACTTGGCTCTGGAGCTCAACCTGCCCAGAGCCCAGGATAAATGCTTCTCCTAATGTTGCCACCACTCAGCATCCCTGGCTGGAAGATCCCAGACCCTGTGAAGTTGTGATCCTCCGAGCTGGTTTCTAAGACACAGATAGGCGTGACAGAGGACAGGAGATTGTCCTAAGAGGGATTTGGGGCTTAGGAATCTCAGTAACAATAGGCTGCTACTTTGTGTTAGAAGAGATTATCCAACAGTTCAATGACACGAATATTTAATCAGGGTTGTTCTCTGTTATACTGTGGAGTCAGTGGAAACATAAATTGAAGTAAGAGTAAAGAAGGGAAGTTTTAGACTGGTTAAATAGGCCAAAAAGAATGAACAGAGAGGCAGATGGAGCAAGGACTATTCCCAGCACCGCTCATGTACACTTATTTCCCGGCGCCCCACGTTGGCCGTGGTGATACGGACTTGCTCTCATCTTCAAAAGCAGTTCTCCACCGTGGCTCCAAGTTTTCAAGCTGGTTTGGGAACTATAATGTTTGTTTGCTTTTTTTTTTTTCTCTTAGGAAGGCAGGCCCGTTACTTGTGTAATGGGCACAAGCCAGATAAGCTGCGCCATACCCATTGAGCCAGATTAGATTGTAAAGGATATTTTCATTCCCGATTTAGCTCTGTCAGTTCGTGGTATTTGTGGGGTTTTGTTGTTGTTGCTGTTGTTGTTGTCGTCGTCGTCGTCGTTTTTGCATCTTTTAAATCAAGAAGAGGAGATGTTGAAGGTAAATCAGTTATTCCTCAGATTAGAGTCGAGGTAGGTGCACAGATACTATCCTTAGAACATCTGTGTATCTTTTATGCCTGTGTAGATGCAAAATTTCAAAAATACTCTTCCACAGCTTTTAGAGTTTGAGGCGATCCACCGCGAAGCCCTATTCAAGAGTCGTGCTTCTTGGCTGTGACCCGTGAGACTTCTGTCTCATCTGCTCCGTGCCCCGTTTTACTGAAGCGTTGATGCTTTCTCGTCTTCCAGAATAACGTGTAATGGGGGCTATTATTAAATTCACAGTTAGGTAATACTGAGAAGCGAAGTGAAATGATTCCCTGCGGGGCTCGCCCCTCTTTGAACGACTCACTGCTGCCCTCTTTCGCCTCCTGCTTCCGGTCCTTCCTGCAAGGAGAGCGATGCTGAATTCACTCAGCCACTGTGAGGCCCCCAGATGATGATTTTATTATTTTCACTTTATAACAATCCACGTCAAAGGAAAATTGTGTTTTTCCTCTTAAGTCATGACTAGACTTATGCGATAAAGAAACCACGTCCTCATACTAAGCACAATAGTATAGCTTGATTTTTCAACTCAAGTTCACTTCAAAATTTTAAACAAATGTATTTTCTGTGGAAGTTTAAGTTAATTTTTAGGAAGACAATCCAATAATCCAAAATATCTTTATAATTAATCATATTCTATGGTTAAAAGTATATCAATTTTGAGAAAATGATGTCCTTGTGTGACTCAAATATATTTAAATATAGCATTATATCTTGCTATTGAGGTAAAAAAACATATGATAGCATTTCTGTAATTTTGGAAGTGTTGTATTCCTAAGCAAACACAACTTTCATTGTTTTTTTGTTTTGTTTTGTTTTGTTTTTGGTACCGGAGATTGAACTCTGGTCCTTGTGCTTGCAAGGCAGGTAACACAACTTTCAAACTTTAAAATAAAACTATTGTTGCTCGTCTAGATTTAGAATAATGGCACCCTTTCAAAACTCACAATTTAAATTTTAAATCAAATTATGGGGCCCAGGAGCCCAGCAGTGTCATGGTAATGATGTACGTGTGTGCAGGGAACTGATAGAAAGCACTGCACACTTCTTAGCCAGGTGTAACATATCTGTAATCCCATCACTCTGGGAGGCCGATACAGGAGGCTCAGAAGCTTGAACTCAGCCTGGGTACAACTTAGGGATTTAGGGATACCCTATCTCAAAAAGGAAATTTTTTCAAAATTTCCAAAATAAAATGAACTAGGGATGAAACAGTGTTAAGGTCCTGGTTTTATTTACCTGACTGAAAAGGAGACAAGGGGAGATGCTTGTGACTAAATTTGACTCTCAAAGAAATGGAAGAGAGGTGATCTTTCCACACCCAAATTTCTAGGTAAATTTTCAGTGGGAGATGGTTTACTAATGTTTAAGAGGGTATTTTTTGACTGCATTTACTGATCTCTATTAGTTAGTGGTCACAAACCACAAATGATGAACATTTGGGACATCTCTGTGCCCACAATACTCTCCTGAACCCGTCCTGCTTTTCAAAGGTCTCATAGGTCAATCCGGGTTGGTAAGTGTCTGTTTACAAGTACCTGAGCCTTCATCATTCCACTGTGTAAATAAACAAGAAGCATTTTTGCATGGCTTTAATATACACGGAATTTAACAGACCTGTAAATTACAGAAAGTTAAAACGTTATTTCTGCAGAAATTGACTAAAGTTGTATGTATGATTACAAGGTAGTAGGACACACCTCAGTGAGAGGATGCACCCGTTTCTATTTTCATAGCATTACATTTATCTTACACTATATAGAAGCAAGTACTGAGTATTGGAAAATTCTCCTAGCATTTTAATCAAGTAACTTATACAAAGAAAACGTTTTATTTAAATAACTTTCCTTTTATTCTCAATATTTATGTTAGAATATTATGTCAATGTTTAAAATCAGTTATATCTGGGAATTTCTTTTCAACACAGTAAGGTGAGCAGGACACCATATTTGTTATAAAGCCATTCCATCAAGTCACAAATGTTTTTGTTTAGAAAATCAATAGCATATATTACAGTATTATATACTATGGCTATAGAAAAAATAACTGGATTCATTAGCTAAAGTTTGAACTCCATCAGCAATTCTTTAGAATGTAATAGTCTGTAAAGCAAAACAGAAATTAATGGTTAATCAAATACACAGTCTTCAAGATTAGTCTGCACGCCTAAGAAAAGTACTCAAATCGATGCTGATTTTCTCTCATCCAGATGGCCTCACTTTCAGCTTCTTCCCATGAACCTATTTGTCCACATCACCTCTGTATGAGTTGAATTTTTTAGAGTGTTTATCTGCCCTTTTATTTTATTGTACACTCTCCTTTCTTGTCCAGTTTTCCTCATCAAACCCAAACCAGTAGTCACTGTTGGTTGCCTCCTCAGGATCTAGCCTCCCTCTTCCTGAATGTTATCCAGTGTCCTGTGACCAGCTCTGAGATGATACCACCCAGCTGCCCTTCCTTCCTCAGGGAATCTGGGTCTGCCATGGCTTTTCCTACTGTTTGGATCAGGCAGGGAAGGCTGGATCCAAGCTGACAAGAAGAACAAGAGCCACAGATCCAAGCTATCCGTATCTAAGATGGCAGGAGCTTGGGAATTACAGGTTTCCTCTGGCCACTGGCTGATCCTGCAGCTTCTGCACCCTGAATTTCTTCTTAGGAGAGAAAAACTACCACTAATCTGGTTAAACCAAAATTATGGTTGATTTCTGTGGTTTGCAGCTGAATGCAACTTAAGATTGAAA